AAAATTTAGAAAACACAATAAGATTTTAATTTCAACACCTACAAGAGCTTGCAATGGTAAAAGAAGAAGAAGAAAAAAAAAACAAGTCATTTAAAGGCTTGCCAGACTTAAATGAGGACTGCCCCCAAGAGAAGTCTGCTTTGGGGATTTTTGACAAAGTGTGACAAAATGGATCGCAGGTGGTGTCATTTCTAGCTTTCACTAAAATTAAAGCACCGAGCGTGACTTTGGATAAAGAGGCTTGTGTTACAGGAAACACAGATTTCTGATGAGAAGCCCTTAAAGTTAAAAGTGAAAATCACAAGGAATAAATCCAAAGACTGACTCTGATGTGTATGCTATTAACAGAAAAGTAAATCAATATTGTCCATGGGACATCTGGCCTAAATATTTTCAATATGATCTCCATAGATCATAAGGTAGCTAGCAATCATTAACGTTTCAAATAGCAAGACAATTATTTGTGCAGCAGAAATATATATAAATATTTTTTACAGGAAATAGGATGTGACTAACAGTAAAATCTCCTCCTGGGTGTTGATAACAATGTCCTGATTTTACACTGGTGCGATTGCAGAAGCAAACACCATTACAGACAGCACAGCGCTTTCCAATTGTTTGATACCAGCATTAGTCAGTGAAGCAGGAGTTACACAGCTGGTTTGTTTAACGCCTGATGGAACATGTCTGCAAGTTCTCCATCACTTCATTGGATTTTTCTCTTTTGGGCTACTTTTCACACTCCAATTGTTAATAAAAGTTGTCTTTGCTTTATTACCTTTACAATCTAACTTTCCTCAGTGGACTGAAATGCTAATAAAGTATTTATGAGTTTCCTCAAACATGACGCACTGCCCCCTTCTCTCCTGCTCTCTCTAAAGATTTATTAATGTGTTTCTCCAGGCTGTTTCATGCAACACTCGTTTTTGTCCAACTCAAATGCAGAGGTTGAAAAAAATAAAATAATATAAAAACGTAAACTTGAACAGGCGATGATCCAAAATGTCTTGGTTGAGAATTATTTTCAGTATATGAATGTGAACAACTCTGTTTATGTCCTGCAGGAAGGATATGCTGACGCAGGGCTTTACTAAATTCATAACTGTCAAGCAATTTCTCCTTTTGTTTCAAGTTTAAACTGCAAAAACGTTTGTGCATTTTATGTGCTTGTTATTTTATGTGACTAACCAAGACTAAAAAGTTCATGATGTGGATTCCATCATAAAATAAAATAATAACAAAAATAAATAAACATGATTTTCCTATTTGTTTATGAACAAAATCTTTGGCAAACATTTACATTCTTCCTCCTTTAATCCGATTTCTTAAATTTAATTATCTTCAGAAGCTATCTAATTACTAAATGAGTTCAACTATGCCTGATTTAAACTCAGTCTAAACCCAGTTGTTCTGTGAAGGCTTCAGAGGTTGTTTATAAAATATTAAACAGCAGAAGGGAGTCCAAAGAACACAGCAGACAGAACAGGGAGAAAGTTGTAGAGAAGTTCAAAGTTGGGTCATAAATATCTGAAGCTCTGACCGTCTTAAAACCCATCATCTAAAAATTGAAAGAATAGGCTTCATCTGAAAACTCACCGAAATACGACCGTCCGCTGAAAACCTCCTGGACAGCCTGGAGAGGGAGCGTCGATCAGAAAAGAGTCTCGTTGCGCCTCTGGAGGAGGTTCTGTTGACAAGACAACAAACAGTAATGCTGCTCATCACTCTGAACACACCTGAAAGGTGAAACTGAAACAAATACAGATGCTTGATCCTGTTCTCATGCCTGCCATTGTACAAAAACACAAGAATCCAATTTATTTTGTCTTTTACGCCACTATTATTTGCCACTTTAAACTAGTTTGTTCCATAAAATCTCAACTTTAAAGTTTGTGGTCGTGATGTAACAAATGTGAAATAATTAGAGGTTTAATTAGTTTTACGCAGCACCGTAATGGAAACGCCTTTCGTTAGTAATTTTAATATGACTTAGAAAAATGGTCGATTATACACTATAATGCTATTATATAGCTAAAAAAAATAAATGAAAAAAGTTTTATCAGAAAACCAGAAGCAGAGACCAAATTAAGTTGACACGACAAAGCAATAAAAGGCCTCAATGATGAATTTGTGGACATAAAAACCTTGAAGTCATAAAGCTTTAGTTGAGCTGCAGGTAAATAACCAAAGAATAGCAACCAGTAAAACATACTGGCCTTACTGGAATTCAGATTGTATTTCAATAATAACCAAAGTCAGTTTAAACAGGTTTAGATCGTTTTAGATGTTGACAGTTTTGACAAGACTGCCCTCTGCTGGATTTAAGATGCATAAGAGGATGTGGTTGAAGCAGCTCTGCTGGAACAGCTGCTAACATGACAAGGAATTATTAATCTTACTGGGATATTTATGACATGTACGGTACACCACTGCTCGCAAGATGAGATTTTAAATCCAAGCCACAATATCACCCTGATGATCAAAGGTTAAATATTAATTATAGTGACAGTAAATTATATATAATCTGGCACAGATTTAGAGTGAAATTGTTTCACTGTTTTTCTACTTTATTTCTCTGATCTTGCAAGTCAAATATAAGCAGGACAAAGTTTCTCAAGCAGCATTATTCCTCCGAACTATTGCACGCCAAGCGTTTGTCCGTTGCTTGGAATGATGAATCACCACCCGAAGTAATAAGTGTCCCAGCAAATTATCTCAGAGAAGAAGAGTCAGGAGTTTATTAGTGCGCTCACTCTCACCGGGATCTCCATTAGTGGGCTTTACCTGAGGCCTGAAACTTTGAACTACTGCGAAATTTACTGGAACCCATGACAGCATGACAAATCGCACAATTATTTGGTTTATCATGGAGTTTATCATCATTCCACATGACTGCTCTGTATTAAAGAATTTTGAATAGAGCATACACACACATTTCACCGTCCCACAATATGTTTCCCTAGAAAATGTTCACAAATCTTACAAATCTGCTATGAATGGTCAGGACAACGACTGTGCATAAAAGCACTAAATCAAAAAACACAGATTCGGGAACACATGTGCAGTACAAACACTTTCAAAATTCAGTTAAAGTTGAACTGTTTGTCTGTGTAGGATTTGGTGGGACTGTCTGTAAAATCAAAACTCAATGACAGGTAGCAGAGGGGGCATTTCTTCACTTAGCTCCAGAAGTCTTTAGAACAGAAAGATAAGCCTCTCTGGGCAAAGTGTTGACATTCAGCCTTGAACCAGGATCCTGGGGATTTTTTCAAAGGTCAGTGGTCACGCTGTCCCTGTTGCTGTTCCTCAGGTAGGTTGTTTTTCCCAGGGGAAACTGTGTGAAACTGTGTTTACAGCTCACTGATGAACTGGAAATGTCAAGCACACAGATGGAAGTCTAAAAATGCCCTTTTAAAAAAAAAAAAAAAAAACAACTTCTGAGTTTTGTTAATGGTGCATCTATTAACAACACTACAAAGCATGAAGTTACCGAGCATCTTGGTGACTTGCAGCATTCTGGTGACTTGGTGGAGCTCTGCTTCCTGGTTGTCCTCCCTGACTACATAGTGACGCAACAAAAGCAGTATGTGTGTTTTGGTAACTTTTTTCTGAAAACTCTCCTTTGAGTCTCATACAGACATGACGGATGTTTTTGCAGATTTGGTCTTTCTGGCAGGTTATTAGCAAGCAGTCCAGCTCTTCCAACCACTGGTTAAAAAGGGTGTTGAGGGGATTATATTTAAAATCAAGTTTGTTTTAGCTTCATATAATGTTATTTCCTCAATTTGAAGGCGACAAATTATGAAGTCAAATCTCTTCATGTTTGATAAGTACAGCATTTTTAAAACTGAAGGTAACAGTTGACTATAAAATACATAATACCAGTCTTTTTAGAGAATCTGAACTACAAAAGCTCATCAGTTTCCCGTTGTCTTTTCCTTTTTGTTTTTAAGTCATAATCACATTTATAATTGACGGTTCATTAAGAGGTGCCATGTCAGATCTAAGGAGAGCTGTAGCACCACCTAGAGCTTCCATTGATGCAAACAGGTCAGGCAGAAAGAAAAAGGCATTTAATGTGAGATTAGGTTTTAAAATGTCCCAGGCTTTAAACACGCAGCTTCTAATCTACACTGACAGATCAGAAAAACCTAAAAGAACCATGATAACTGTAGAGCGGCTGCAGAGACCCACAGACCAGGAAGGCGAATCCTCTAGGCTGTATGGGGGAGTAGAAATAAGAAAGCCATAAGACGTCCAAAGTACAGTTTGCCTCCAACCACGATGGAGGGGATGCTTAGTAGACGCGTGGAAGAAGGTGTCATTTAATGTATTGCAGTCTAGACTCCAGGTTTGATGGAAAACAGTAAATAGAGGGCAAAAACGAAACCAGCCAGGTATTGCAAGAGACTTGCACAGAATGCTACAAAAAAAACCTCACAGACTGCTGTTAAAATATTATTTTTTCTGATATCTAAAAATGAGATGAAGACAAATCATTCCTTTCTGATTCAATTTAATAATTGCCTTCTTTGGCATACCATGTACTGGAATGACCGTACTGCCGATGCTACCGAGCAAAAGATCTCCACCATCCCCCAAAACTTTAGGGGATGCCAGAAATTTTCTTTGGAAGAAAAGGATTTTGTATTTCAACCAAACGTCTGAGACCAGACATGGAGAATATACGTAGCTGTTAAACCAGCATTAACCTGAAATCCCTGATTCTCCTTCAGCATAGCTATCAGGCATGCATGCTTTATTTGAAAGACTTCTCTTCATAATAAACTATGGAAATAATTTTTCCAATTATTGATGTCTGCCTTATTGTATCACGGTGTGATGAGGGTTTTCACCTTCTGCTCTGACTGTTACCTTCGACAGTAAGATCACTTAGATTATTTGGAAACTCTCAAAGAAAAAACACAACACCATAGCCAACTATACTGTACATAGTTTTATTGAAAAAGGGAACTACAAGAATTTAAATACATAAGAATTTAAATACATATTTTCGGTAGATAAAAACCCAGTATGTTTTGACAGATTTATAATTTAGTAAAACACATTTATACAGTCCCAGCACACCTTGGCTGTTACATCCCTAAGCACAGGTTTTCTGATGTCTGGCTCGGCCACCTGCTCCAGTAGGCTTTAAGAGGCTTCAACACCACTTCCCACCTTTTTGTACAAATGTAATGCGCCTCCTCCTTGGCTTCAGTGACTCATCTCCAGGTATTACTTGTGCAGACTGTCTGCTGTTGGTTTCACACCGCCGTCGCTCTGTCCGTCTTCCTCTGCAGAGTCCTCTGAGCTGTTTACCACGGCAGCGCTGAGAGTATGGAGCTCCTCCAAAACGCTCAGCAGTCGCTCTGTGAAGACAGACAGGCTGCTGGTCAGACCGGAAGCACATGTGTAAATATCAAAACTTCAAAAAAACACAAGGTACATGTCAGACGCATGTAGGATGAGGACATTTATTAATACCTGTAGGTAGATGGGCTCCTGGTGGGTTTTCTTGATTGCGGTGAGGAAAAGAGTTTTGTCCAGCTGTTGGGTGACCGTGCCTATAGTCTCCTGTCGGCCATCTTTCAATAACCCTGAACTGAAAAAAAGTTACTTTATGTAGTGAAGGAAAAATAAAAACATTCAAATGTTTTTTTGATTTTTTTTTTTCTTGTTTCTTACAGAAACTGAGTCATTGCTCTGCTCCCTCCCCTTCGGTTGTTTATTAAATGCTTCAAGCTTCGTCTTGTCAACATTCAAATGTCGGGTTTCTCTCGTCTCATCACGTCTCCTCGCTGCCTCTCTCTGAAACTCCCGCAAAGTCATAACTGCAACCGACAACACAGACATCTCATAAACCACGGGGACAAGCTGGTATATTACGCCGCTACACACTATGCAAACAAATCCAGTCGTGTTATATCACAGCCAGCATTAAAAATATAACTTCCTTCTCTTACATTAAGGATGTGTCTGGCCTGAGGCGGCAATGGGGCCAAGTACAATACCTGCTTTGGTGTGTTCTCTCCTGGCCGCATTACGTTGGGCCTCCATCTCTCTCAGTTTCTCTTCACATAGGTTTTCAACCTCGGACACTCTTTCATGCAGGGCTGAACGAGAAGAAATTGTAACAATAATAATAAAAAAAAAGCAAAACCCAAACCACCACAATAAAGAGGCCAAAGAAAGGCACAACTGTTTCATGTATAAATCAAACTGTTGGTTACAAGCATGTCTCCAGTTGACTCCCTGTAACTGCAGCCTTCCCATCCCCTTAAAATCTGTTATTCATGTCAGCTACGAGTGTAGCCTGGAATCTTGGCTCTATGCTCCAATCATTTTTTTTCTCTTTAAAGCACAAATATCCATGTATTTAAAAGAAATCTAATGGGACAAAGCATCACAAAGCAGCACTTAACTGTGAAAAGAAAAATGAAAAATCTGAGAAGTGTGAGGTGCATTTACGTTCCACCCTCCTAATTCTGATACCTCAAATAAAACCAAATCTTACACCATTTAGTCAAATTGTCAAGCTTTATACCCTCAATATATAATGCACTTAATAGTGAATAATTCGGTTTTAAAATTAGATTTAGCTTTTAGAGCTAAAAGATTGTGAAAACCTTTCTTGAATGAAACATTCTATTTATAGAAAAAAGGATTTACTTTGTGGCTTAATGACAAAGAAATCACTTAAAATAAAATCTTTCATTATTAGTGTCGTCCTGTTGAGACATTCATTGCAGAATCTGCATAAAAACACACAGAAAACTTACTCAAACTGTCTCTTTTGTTCAAAGTTACTGGGAGCTTCTCAGGAAGCTATTAGTACAGCCACGTTTCAGGCCTTTGACTTAAACTGACAAATTTGGCAGCGAGAGCATAAATCGGAGCAGAGACCTCATGATAACCACTTTTCCAGCCTCCTTATAAACGTGCAAAGAATGGATTAGTCAAAGTATTTTAAAGCATATTCTGTTTGAAAGGTGAACTGTAATGGTGAGCTGAGACTGCCGCCAATAAATGATTCAAACTCATTATAGCTCTGGCCCCTCAGTAATAAGTATTGGAAAGAGAAGTGCAGGAAAGATTATTTAAAGAACCCTTGTGGAAACTGAAGAGGGCCTCAGAGAACCAGGAATGTAAGTGATTACTAAAGCAAAACGCACCTAAAGCAGAGCCAACTTTAGTCTCTGTGCCACTTGCTTGCAATAAAAAAAAAGTGCAACACAGTTTGGGAATATTCATCCTACATTTGGATTTGGTTGTTTTGGGCCAGAGGGAGAATCAAACCGTGTGTCAGTGTGTCGTACGTAGAGATGTTTGAGGAGCTCAAGGAGAATTTATGCTGTAGCAGCTAACAAGCAGCACTCAGCTATATGAATGGAGAATGACCGACTCTTTATAAGTTGGTACGACTCGGGAACCCAATTTAACTGCACCAGAGTTTGAGAAAATAATCTGATGCTACCCAATTAATCAAACATAATTATTGTTTCATTTAGACTAATCATAGCTGGAAAAACAAATCCTACAAATTTTTCATTTCAGTATTCCAGGTTGACTGACCCAAATTTCACTGTTTTCTGTCCTGCACTCTCAGGCAGGTTTTTACTGCGTTTATGTTAAAAAGAATCAGTCATAATGATGCTCTAAAGTATAGTGTTTTGTTGGGCAGTCCTCTAAAAGACAACAACTGGATTAGATTGCTGTTTACGGCAGTGTGGGTCATCACATGCCTGCCAAATGGTCATCCAGCCATGCCTGCACATCTGCGTCACATCCACAAGAGTCCTACTTATTCAGAACCAAGTTTCTGCTGCGACCTTCTGAAGTACAAAATAAACCAGAAAGAAAGCAAACATTTAAAAGGTGGAATGATCATGTAACTTCAGTACATTTATGGCCTATTAATGATAATTATTTTTTGTGCTTATTTGGAGAATTTAGCAATAAAGAACTTTTTTTTCTCAGAATCAAGTAGGAAACAGGACAGAGACATTGGGACAGTAATAGTTAACTAGATTTTGGCTTAAAAAGCCTAAATTGTAATAATATATTATACATAGCATTTATTTATTATCCCATAAATAATTTAAAATGTTGCTCTTGAACAACAGCACAAAACATGAACAGGGTAGTTTTTACAAAGATACTAAGAGTTTTCATCACTATATTTTTTTCTTGATAATGAAACAGTTTAAGAAATAAAACTGTAATAATAACAACATACATAATTGACAGGTTACATGTATAAATTATGACTTACTAGATTTTATTAGGTTAATTTAAGAAAAAAATTTACTCTATTTATGCATTTATTAGCAAAACACATTTATCAAGTGTATGTTCACTAGTGGATATTTATTTTTGCTTTGGGAACTGGTTCTTATTTTTCAAATCATTACAGCTGTTTTGCAAGAAGCTGCTACTCTTTGATTCTGAAATCAAAGAACATTGACTATTTCTGATTTCCAGAATCCAATGTGCAATTAAGATTGTAACAAACCCTCAAATTGTTTCACTGCAGCTCCGGATTACCTGGGTCTTCATGTGTGACCCCAAGTGTGAAGTACGACCAGAGGAGGAGAAACAAGGAAGAGAAAAAAAAGGGCAGTGAAGGATCCTAAAATAGCCGCTGCCTCACCATGCTCGCTTTGCTCTTGCTGGCGAAGCAGTTCACAGCGGAGTCTCTCCAGACTGGCGTTGCTCTCCTCCAGCTGGGCTTGGATCTCCTGCAAGCTTTGCTCAGCCTGCTCCTTAGCAGCCACAGCCAGCCTGACCTCCGTGCAGCTGTGTTCCCGGTCCTGCTGCTGCTGCCTCACTTTACTCTCATCTGTGAAGGACATACATTTTTTTTTTTTTTTAAATCACATTCATCAGCTTAAACATGGATTCACAGTAAATTATAAATTGCATTTCATTAAAAGGGTCTCACATTGTTCTTTTAGGTCGGCCAGGGCTTTCTCGATGAGCTCTGGGGTTCTTCTGAGCTCTTGAGCCAGTTTGTCTCTCTCTTCGCACACCGATCTGTGCTCGATTTTCAAGTTCCTGATGCTGCCAGGCAACAAGAACCAAGATGGATGAGAAAAGGGGTAGAGACTTGAGGCTAAAAGAATCATTGAGAGGAAGTGACTTTCTGTATGCATTGCTTTGTAAAAAACCCCAAAACAAGACAATGTTTCACAATTCTTTACCAGTATGAAATGCAAGAAACCCCCCCCGGAAATTTCAAATTCTACCTGTCGTTATCCTGTTCCACGTATTTGGAAGCTTGCTCTACTTTCTTCAGAGCTGACCTCCTCATGACCAAACCTGCAAAGCAAAAAGACTAATCTCTGGATATGAACTTTCTCTTCCACATAAACGGTACCCACATTAAGCTAACAACAATCAACAACCGCCTCCAGCGCATCACTACCTTGGATTATCTCCACTCTCCTATTGGCAAAACAAAGTCTCTGCGCACAACTGCTCAGCCTTGCTTTAGCTGCTTCCACTTCTGCCAGCTTGATTTCAAATTGCTGCTTGAACCTGTAAATCAGGAATTTGCTACAGTTAAAAAGTTATCTTCGATAAAAACATTTGAGAAATCTTGATGATGTCATTGTACCTCTGAAGAGCCTCTGTCAGGGTTTTATTGCCAGCCTCTACCATCAGGTTCTGTGACTTCAGTTCTGTGTTTTCTTTGTGAGCCTTAGCCAGGTTGTGTTTTAATGTCTATAATGTAAAAAAAAAACACATCTGTAACAGTATTTGTGGGGGACAAAAATCTGTTATGGTCACTTTTTTCCGCTCTCTTCCATTCTCACAAAGTTTTTGCGCAGTCAGCATCGCGTATCACAATGCTGACAACACTTGTGATGAACACACCTTTCCCCGTTTCCTAAATAGACCCAAATGTGTGGTGTGTCATCAGGTTTCCAGATAACAACGTAAATCACATCGGCTGCTCTGGTGCTCACCTCATTTTCCACTCTCTCCATGTCCAGCTCAGCTATTCTATCATGCAGACTGTGCTGAAGCACGTTCGCTCGGTGCTGCTCCTGCTGTAGCTGCAGCTCCGTGGATTTCACCTGAACCGAGCGATAACTCACATTATCCCCCACTCAAACATTCTGGATTAGACAGATAAAGTTTTACATACTTGTGAGAGAAGTTCGTCTTTCTCTCTTCGTATCTCGATGTCTTTTGAGCGAAGCTGGACGCACAGCTTGAACACTTTCTCCCTCCACAGATGAAGCACCTGAAGGCCCCCACATCCACTCTTCATCAGAGGATCTCCTGAAGTCTGCAATAAACTCAAATATCAATAACTATAGCCAAAGAGAATTACAATAATTTCAGATTGTTATATTTATTTCCAAAGGTAGACATTTATGAAGTTTATGGAAGAATGTAGAAGTTTGTTTCAATGACTGACTTCTCCACAGATTTATGTACCGTCTGTAAAGATATTTTTAGTGTTGTATAAGTAACCTCAACATTTGATGTAATTGTTTCCCTTTGGCTACAGAGCTGTAGTTCCTTAAACTTCTACCAGTTCAAAGCAAAACTTTGGTCATTTAAGTCTGTAAACTGGTTAAACTGTCACTATAACAGTATAATATGAGAGAGATAATCTGTGGAAAACAAAGAAGCTCCTCTGGCTCCTCTCTGTGGTCCAGCAACCATCTTCAGATGGTTTTCCTGGAACCCTGATGTTTGAATCCATCTACTGGCACGTGTTTCCAGGAATTGAATCTTATAGTCAGTGCTTTATTATGCAACAGTGCATGACTGAAGAGGAACTTCCTCTTCAAAAGATGAACATTTCTTTACACTTAAGATTTTAAGGCATTACAAAATGTTCAAAACAATGTTTAGCTTAACTACCTGTAATGATGGCATTCAAAACTTAAAGTGTTGAAGACCATACAGCCCAATTCAAGTCAGCCGAGGGAATTGGGGTTTTGTGCTTTTGCCTGACATTATTTCCTGTCCCCACTTCAACCCTCTGCGACCTCCAATGGAAAAATGAGCAAGTTGATGATTTATTTAGCCTTCCTTCACATTTAGTGGCCCCCCTGATAAAGATGTGTGAAAAGCTCTGGAAATGGATTCATCTTTAATATCACTCGTTTAACCTCAACAAGAAATTTTAGAAAAGTCCAACTTTTAATTTGAGCATATTTTTTTCAGCAAGTAAAAATGAAAAAAAAAAAAAACAAATAAAATAAGCAAATAAAAAGAAATGATTTATTATAATTGTTTGTCGTTGGTTTTGTTTTTTTTTTGTTTTTATTACAAAAACATTGCTAACATGTTTTATTTTCTACAGGATGGAAAGATACAGAGAAAGGGCTTTCAAACAGTTCCTCTAGATTATCCAGAGTCCTGAATCTTTTTTGAAGAACAACTATTTGTGGCACTTGTAATTTGACGTATTATAAAACAAATCAGTTTACTCAAACTAAATGTCAGGGGGAGATTTTTCTGTTGCAAAAAATACATGTTTATCTTTAACCTTTTTACGACGGGTGCCAAAACATTTTCCTTCACACCTGGATGTTCTAGTAAGATTTTCTTTGAAAACGTTACAGAACGCTGGAGATGCAGCAAATGCTTTAAAAGGCTTCTGACCTGCATTACTGTGCAGAGGAGGAGGGGCTGGGGGGGGGACCAAAACACTCACACTTTTCACTATCTCCTCTTCTTGGAGGGCGAGAATCTCATTCACAGACTTAAGCCTGACTGTCAGAAGCTCTGTGGTCGTCTCAAGAGTCGCTTTCTCTTTGCTCAGCCTCTGCAAAATAGACAAGATTAGAAGAGAAAAGCTGTGGATTATTGTGATACAAGTGTCGCTGCATAAATTAGGTTTTCACTTGCTTAGTTACTGCTTCTTTTAATAATGTGAAAAAAGAAAATAAAAGTGTCACGCAGCAACATCGCGAAGGTTCATTCGATCAGTATAGTTTAGATTCTCTTCACCTCAACAGCTTCATTTAATCGCTCTCTCTCTCCTTTCTCGGGGGCGAGCTGGCCGATGTAATTTCTGAGGCTGTGCAGTGTTGTAGATTGTGTCTCAAAGGCTTGTCCCATTTGGCTGAAATATAAGCAACATTATCAGACAAAGAGGAAAACAAGGGAATCTCACTACAAAGTGCTTTAGATGCTTTGCTCCATTTGGTTTTAAATTAATTGTGGTACCTTAAATGTTCTCTCAGCTCGTCTCTCTCTGTAGATACCTCCATCAGAGCCCTTTTCAGCTGCAGCACTTCAGCGGTCAGTGACTGAAGTCTGTCCTGTAGGTCATTGTTTGCTTTTCTGACTGCACCCAGCTCTGCACGATGGGATACATTCAACTGCTGAAGCTGAGAGAAAGAGAGGAGACAGGCAAACAAGGAGAATTTTAGGGCACCAACAAATAATGATGCAATAGCTTAAGGTGAAGGTTTCACTCCACTTGCTTCACCGTTTCAGCTCAGCTGAGTTGATGCCATCTAATGAGCATTTGTTAGTCACATAGCATTTGCCTAAAAGGAAGATAATTACAATTTGGATATAAAAAGTTTAGGTTTGTGACTGTTTATATTTCCTAAAAAAAAAAAAAAAAAAAAAAAAAGAATGAATGTCACACCTCCAGTTCATGTTTCTTCTTCAGTTCCTCACTTTGCTCCATCAGTCTGAGACCGTGCTGTTTGGTCTCCTCTTGAGCCAGCAGCCGGCTCATTTCGGCCTTAAGAGTGAGCTCCCTGGATAACTCCTCGTTCCTCTCTGCCTCTCTCCTTAGCTCACTGGACTCTATCTGCAGTTTCTCAACCTGCAAAAGAGATTTCAGGCCAAACAACAGAAACACCCTTAATTTCTGAGTCTTATCACTTTAAAACCTGCTAAATTAGGCTATTAGTAAGTCTGAAAGCTGTATTAAAAGAGCAGAGTGTCTTGCAAAGATGAGTGTTACAAGATGAGGATGAGTGTAACTCCCAGGTGGCTGTTGTCTGCTGGAGTGTCGAAATGAAATGTTTTGTCAGTCAACATCATTACCTGTAAGCTCATTTCCTCCTTCTGCTCACTGCTGAGGCTGAGCTCCTCTCTGAGTCGGTCGAGTTCAATCTTAGTCTTTGACAGTTCTTCATGCATCATTTCCATCTCCTGCCTCTGTCTGCTCCCACATTAGGTTGATTGAAAAGAAAATATATATATTTATGGCTCATAGTTGATAAATGTGCAAGTCCAAAAGTGTCACAATCCAAAAAAAGAGATTAGTTATCATCATTTTTACAATTAATAATTAAAATGGCATTTTGAATAAATAAACATGTCAATATTTAATTAAATATGTAATTAAAATGAGGAATAAATAAAATTTTGAATGTAACTGTAACTCTGTAAAAGTATAGACACCAGCTGGTCAAAAGTATATACAATGGCTGACCATTTTATTAAAGCTGCAGTATGACATATTTTCCTGATACATAGTGCCATTTTATAGCACAATCAAGTAACTGCTAAATTCAGTTGTTAAAAAAAGCAAAATATACATCAAATACAACTTTTAAAAAATTTGACTTTGAAATTTGAGGCCTTGAAATTGGGGTTGTCGCTTTAAGTAACTCCTACTTTTTCTGAAACTTCGCCTTGAGAAAGTCCTCACAACAGCTCTCCTCTGTTATTAACCCTTTTAAAAGGTTTTAACCAAGATTTCACTGAGAAGTATGTTGTCTAATTAGCTCAGCCGATGTGCAGTTCCAGCAAGTGTTTCCTAATTGCTGCTGGCTAGTCTGAAGGAGCTGAATGGGGGAGTCGCAGAGGAGGACTGCATTGTGAGGCAGAACTTCGGAAGCTTGGAAATTGCAGCTTTTAGGAGCTGCATCTAAGGTGCCACTAGATTGACCACCGTGCTTTGTGAATGGCTGAACAGCTAAAATTTGAAGACTGGCGGATTAAATTAACACGCTCATGTGCTGCATGAAATATTTAATTTACTAGGGATACTACTTGCATGCTATGTGCAACTAAAATAAACATTTATGTTAATATAAACTTGACACACTATTTTCCAATTACTTTTCACTTGGAAACAATTTATGACACATAAGAATCTATTGCTTTATTTATTAATTAAATTGTGGCACTTTTGACTCTCCCTAAAGTCGAACAAATGTAAAACTAAACTATGACAAAATTTTATTGCACAACATAAACTGTTCAGATACCTGCTCAAAGTGATGTCCTTGTCTCTCAGTTCTTCCCTGTACCTTTCTAAGGTCTCCTTTAGGGCCTCCACTTGACCCTTTGACCTCTCAGCTTCGGTCTTGAGCTTCTCTGCCTCCCGTAGCCACTCTGAGTCCCATCGAGACCACTGTTCACTCCACTCTCTAGAAATGCATTTCAATAGAGTACAACATCCAAACCACCTGTGCTCATTTTATGGCTGACAATATTTCAAAGAAACACAATGGACATACCGCATTCCAACATCTGACTGGGGATCTGCAGACAACCCTCCTCTTCTGCTGTTTCCTTGTAGCATCATGATTCTCTGTTTTTCCTTCTTCATCTCAAAAATTTCCTCCGGGGTCTGTGTGATGGCGAGCCATGGTTTGACAATGCTGGGAGCCCCTGGTGGTGTTCTTGTTATTGCTTGGTTGATCCAGCGCATGTGTGGAGGATGTGCTTGGGATGTTGATCCTGAGGTTGTCTGTGCTTCAGTAGATGGGACAGTCGATGCAAAATGTGACGGGGGCACAAGATCCTCCTGAATATTCCCTAAATTAAGTTACACAAAGTATAAATAGACATGCATTAATGAGCAGTACAAACTATCACTAAGTGTTCCTCGTTTTTCAAAGCAAAACTTGATCAAATCCTAAGGGGCATCAACATAGTGGATTCAAACTGTATGACACATTGGACTTCTAACATAATCGTAGTAGAAAAATTTTACCTGACAAAATATTTTCATAGCAGCTTGGCTTGAAATGATAAATGAAAATTTCTAGACAATAAAATCAGCCAATTCCAGTCTGAACTTGTTCTTTTCACAAACTGCTCTACTATAAAAGATTTCTGTAAAAAGTTTAATTTAAAACCACTGAGATGGACCTAAATAAATTGTGAAATTTTACTGAATATGTTCATCATTTATATTTAGGTTACTTGAAAAAGCAAATATGATAACTCTAACTTTGTCAACTCAAATGTGTGCTTTTATGTGCGACTTCAATGGTTTTAGATCCAGGATACATAATTTTGACACCAAAAATATATGGTAGGTTCAAAAAACTGTGGATTCAGTATGAAAATTTCTGTTTCCCATTCAAACCTCGTTATATACTTTAATGGAAACTTTCTTACAACGAAGCAAATGATAGGGAATAAAGTAGGAACATTTTGATCTTAACTGAATAATGTCACACTAAACCAGTTTCAGAAGCAGACTGACAGCGTTATTGTGATGCATCATGGGGCTTGTAGTTTTGTCACAGAGTAAAAACAAACTACATTTCTAAGCCAAAGCATAAATAATTAAACAGCCAAGAAAATAATAGCTAGATCAACAGATATGTAGAAGCAAATGTACAAAATTAAGACAAACACAAATATTATTCAAGACACAGTATTGAAAAAGCTGGCCATCATAGTAACAAATTGAGATTTTTCAATTTAAAACCTTCAAAGCTGCGATATTTTCTAAAATCCAAACACGGTTCGCACACAGCAGCAGCCGTTCAGAGAACAAATAAACATCTTTGAAGGACGAAAGTGATTGAAAGTAAGCAAATATAACATTTTATATTTATTTTTTTTTTTTTACTTGATGTAACTAGAAGCATGTTTCCATTGAAGCACTTTAAAGCCTGGGGCGAGTTTTATCGAGACTAAATAATTTATAAACTATACAAAATCTGACTGTGACGTCACGTTTTTAATAGATACCAATTAAAAACGGGCAGGTAGGGTAGAAAAGCTAAACCGAGATTAATCGAACATGATGTCGAAATAAAGTTACACGGAACGTACGTGGTGAAGTGAAGTCAGTTGGCACTATAAGCCTCTCCTTTCCGAAAATGTGCTTTTCCATGTGCAACAGGAGCCTGGAAATCCTACAGAAAACGGGAAACTGTTGGAATTGTTCGGACGAACGTTGCCGTTTTCCTCTCCGTCGTGTTACGTCAGGCTCCGTTGCCGTAGTAACGCGTTCTAGCATACCAGAGGTGACCGCTAGCGTTACATTTTAACTTTAGCTTTACTTTCCGCTCAAAACACACTCGACACGACGACGTTTGCTACGCAGCGTGTCTTCATATTTTGACAAAAAACGTTCAAACGCTTCTTCAGCAACAGGCGCAGTGCATCACGGGAAAGTGGAAGGAAGTTACCCAGAAGTAACTTCGGGTGTTCCTTTTCCCTAAGTACTGTCTGGCAGGTTTTAGCCTCCCAGTGGCTGAAGCGCTTGACTGTCAGGTCCTGGTGGCACAGTTTGGACTTTTGCGTATTTATTTTGCACATAAAAGTTTATATAGAGCTTAGCAAAATGAGGACCAGGAAAGATTAGCTATTCAAACACATTGATGCGCTATCATCACATACTTTTAAGGGAAAGGAGGAGAAAAGGTCAAGAATTCAATAAAAGTCCTTTTTTATTATTTATATAACAATAAATAATTAAAACAAATAATTGTTTCAATTCAAATCAATTAGAACATTTTATATAATACAATCGAAATGTTGAAATTCCAATTCAAAAATAACCAACACCATAAAAAAGAGTTCCGATGCATTTCCTTCACAAACACAGTGCGAATGCTGTAAGCTGAATATATTTGGTGAAAATTGCTGAATAATTTGAAGTAAATTGCAGAAATGTAAGAATTGGACAAAATGCATATAAGAAAAGCTGTTGTAAGCAAGAGGAGCTAAAATTTTCAGCAGAGCTCTGCTTTCAGATCTATACTCACAGAAAATAAGATAACATTAGGTAAAGAGCTTGTTCATCGACAAGTTACTGTGCTCTGTGAGAGAATCATATGCTTTATAGCATGCTCTGTAGTACTAATATTTGACATTGTCTACAGCCAATACTAAAATTAGCCTTTGACAAATTTTGGACCCTCTCACAGGAACTAATTGTCATATAAAATAGGTGACATCTAGTCTTGAATTTCCTTTGGGTTGTAAGCAATTTACAATTTATGTAGAAGCATTTTTTATTTCAGCCACATGGTTTTCTGAATCTATGTGGTAACAGTCTTCAAGAAATATTGACTTCTTTGGATCGTATTATTACTCCTTTTCTGGGAATGTTTTGACAACCAAACCATTTCTACCATACACATAGCAGGAAAAAATCTTTGTTGTAGGGTTGTAGAGTTGTAGGGTTTAAAAATTGAATGCAAAAACTTATAAAGCTGTTTTCTGCTGTTAGTGTGCTACTCATCTCTGAATTTGTTTCCATATTTGTTATCTATACCCATTGACTGTTTTTATGCCTTAAATTGTAAATACGTCTCCCTCTGACTAAAAGATCAAAATCCTAACTTCATATGAACAGTGATAAAGTGTATCTTGTGCTTTATATTTTCCTCTGGTAACAACAGCAACCATTTCTATCTGCACTTACTAACAAATATATCCTGTTCCCCACCGCTGCCATGACCCACTTTCCCCTTGGGGGTTCATTAAAGTTTAATCAAATCTAATCTATTTATGCTTTATTCAAGGGACAAAGACATTTTAGTTCAACTCATTTACATAGCTGATCACATATAGATTCAAGAGAGAGGGAAAGAACAGCTGCGACTCATGAATAATTACCTTTAATAAAAACAAAAGTATTGGGAACCATAAAGAGAGATTAGGGGTGGCATAAAGGCTGTGTATCTTATATGATTTAGTAATGAAGTACAGCACAGGAGGTGCTTACTGAACACAGTAGGAGTGCTGGAAATGTTAATAATGCACCTTTGAACTAAAGCTGTATCCCTCTGGCACAGGGCTCTCTGCAGAAGGTCCTGAAGTACAAAGCAGAGGAATAAAAGAATTAGAATGAGCCATCAGGAACAGAATGAATAAGATCTCACTCATCAACATCAGGCTTTCTGCTGAGGACAAACCATAGCTGATTGGAGCATCCTGATAAAGCCAAATATCAGATAGTGAACTGTCAACAAAAATATTCACTTCTAAATATCTGAAATCAGAATATCTCATCAGAAAAGCTGAGATTTACTTCATGTCACCATTAGTCTCTTTAATTTTTATGACAGGTTTTGAGAAAGCAGTGTTTACAGTTCTCTTTTTATTCTATTTTAATTATCAGCTCTATTTATTAGTCTAACATTTATTGTACAATGCCAAAATAAACACAATATAAATATGTTCTTACATAAAATGTTCCATAAATCATGCCATACATGACTGTATATGAAAAATCTAAAATAAAAACTATTAATAAAGAAATCAATGCTCCAAAATGTGGCGTACATGGGCTCTAAAAGAAATGTTTCTTTATTGGAAAGTCACATCTTCCTTTAACTGTACCAAATAAGTGATAAAACTATAAATTAGTATTGGAATACAGCTTTAATAGATGCATGTCTTTATTCGTGTAAAAAAAAAAATCCTGCGTTCTCAATTCAGCTGCCATATTTTCTCTCATTTTTATGTTTCAAAAGAAAAAGGCTGCCAGGAAAACTTGTTATTCCAATGGAGTCCCACCTTTGCTGTGTTCTCTGTGTGGAAGCTGGAGACACCCTAAGCAGATCTCCTAACACCAGGAGGTTGTTTCCAGTTTGATGGAAGAAGTCCTCAAGTTCCAAATGTGAGTAAAGAAACATCACATTTGCAGAAATGCAAATATTTTTATGGCACAGTAAGACAGCACAATAGTTCCCCGTTTTATGCAAGTCCAACAGAAAAATTTGAAATAGTGGAAAGGAAAATGGTTTATGAAATTAAAAATAAATAGTGCACATGCATAATCTGACAGTACTTGTAGAATCACCTTTTTTGAAATATGCATAGAAGCTTTGCACATACTCAAATCAACGTTTGGTAAATTCATCTTACAGCTCAAGCTCTAACTCTGAACAACCATTTTCAAGTCTTTCTTCAGATTATCGATTGTATTTAGGAATATAACCGTCATTTAATCTGTTAATTTAAAACATTTTAATCTAAACTATTCCATCGTAGCTCCGGATGCCTTTAACCTCAACAACATTGTCTTAAGTCTTGTGCAACCACCAAAAGATTTTTCTTCAAAGGTTGTCCTGCCTTTAACTCCATCCATCTTCCTATTACCTTTATCCTGGTTAAATGTCCTTTCTGAATCCGTCCAAAATCCCTGACACCCATCACGTCCCTTCACCCTTTCGCCACAGCACGCTCCCAGCGCTAGTTTTTGATTGTACGATTAACTCTATTTAATGACAGTTAATCAGCCTGTTATTGCTGAGAGAAGCAATAAAAATGCTTCTCTCAGCCCCAAGATGAAAGCCTTTCCCCAACAAGAACAACATAAAGGTCTAGTTTGTGCTGTTTAGCAATAAAATTGAACTAATTGATGCAACTGGAGGATGCCCAAATCTCTGTAAGTTATTCTTTTTTTAAGAGCCATATATTTGTGTTTGTGGGGCTTTCATTTCAGTGCACTACAATCCCAGCTATAAAGTATATTACCAAAAAGTAAATAGACTGCAGGGCCTTTTCAAAAACGTTCCATCAAAATAAATAAAAAATAGATATTGTGATAAACTTTTGCTCTTTTTTTTTTCTCGACCTTACCATCTTCACTTTCTGGATACCTGAAATGTGTTGCTGCTGGCAAGAATAAAGATGGATTTCTCTTAACAATAGCTTTCTTTCTGAAAACCATATTTTTTTAATTGCGTGACTAATAGTTTTTATCTTCACAGACCTGAGCTGTGGATCTGTGCAGGTCCTCATGAGTTACAATGGGAAACTCGGCAAGGTCAGTCAGTTTAAGTGAACAGCTGTATCTCTGTATTTTTACAGTTTATTGACCTTTTATTGGAACTGAGTCTCTGACCCATCTGTTGTCTTCCATGGTTTTTATCAGCTGGATTTATACTGAAACCATGTCACACATATGGGCTTTATTTGTCTCAAGCAATGCAACAAAACTACATAGATATTTCCGGTTGCGACGGGACAAAACTTTAACAAGTTCAACAAGTTCACAAAAGTCTTCGTAATTTCACAGAGAAGTCTAAAATGCTTGTGAAAACATCGCAAGAGTCGTTACGGTTTGATCCGTCTCTGTCATTTTGACACTTAAAAAAGACTGTTTAAATTGTTAACTGCTACTGTGGAGCTTATTGCGTTTCATTAGGAAAGAAAACTTCAAAACAAAGAACACTGGATGTGTTAGCCAACCCTTTGGTCACGGAAGCTGGTTTTCTTTATCCCCAATCAAGCTGATTCAGCCTACACTTAGGGTCTGTGTGGAGAAAGTGTCAATGACTGCAAATATGTGGACTGGAAAGTGTGTCTTTAATTAAAATGTCTCAGTATGCAAATTAACTTGGACCCTTTATATGTGACAGGGGTGCTAATAAGCACCTTGCACACATAAAAAAAGGAACTATATGAAACCACAGGGAACATGTGCCTAACTTGCTTACAATCAGCCTCATGCATTAATCAATATACTTCAGCGAGAGCAGAACTGCTATAGAAACCCATCTTTCAAACAGTGCATCCGCCTCTGAGCGTGCATGAAAAAAAATAACAACCCAGTTAGCTTTCTTTTGTACGGTAACTGAGCTTGAAAAAAATGTTGGCCAGCATTTCTCCCAAGAAGTGTGAAAATCTCCCTTCACTTATGCATCACATCCATGACCACAGGGCATTATTAAAAAAAGAAAAGTATATGGGGGAATGTCTGCTCAGTCAGCAACTGTGTCTGGCCCACACAGACTACTTACTGTAGGTTAGTGAGTTGTTGCCGTGGATCTTTGATAGCATTTTCTATGTTTATACTGGGAGAAGAGTGGAGGTTTGAACCATGTGGAGCGTTCTATTCTGGGCACAGTGCAAGAAGCAAAAATTCCTTTACTTTCCTCACCTTTGCACCTTCTTTTAAAGCCCTTACACTGTCATGACAAGGCTACATTAATACCTGAATGTCCTACTGTGTAGGTAAAAATAACCCATAATATAACGGGCTCATGCAGCAAGGGAGTTCAGGTACAGGTAAAACTTATTATTTCTTTAATACATTCAGAATCTTGTAAAAGTATTCTCACCCCTTGGACTGCTTTCCATTTTTTCTTGATATCACCGCAGACCTTAGTGGATTTGAAGACTGCAGTGAGATATTAAAAGCTTGGGATATTATTATT